AATTTGCAAAGCCTATCTATTAACAGGTTTAAGAAATTTATTAAAGAATTTTTTTTTAAAAAGGGTTATTATAATATAAATGAATATCGATAATAACCCCTGGGAATGAGATGATCGCTCCTAAGCTGTTTCTAAAAAAAAATATGTACTGTATAACAATATTTTTGTTGAGAAAAAAAATGACAAAAAAGAGGATACCTACGGAGTTTCTTTCGCCTGTTTCTTCTCCGTTAGAGGAACCTCATTACGAAACGGTGGTAGATTTAAAAAATGACTATCGATAAATTAAATGTATATTTCTTATTTCGATGAATAAATGATTTGATTTGATACCACCGAGAAAATGTATATTATTGGATGATTTGATGGCGCTATTGCTTACCTATTGTGTTATGTCCGTGTTGTGTGTTCGATTCCCACACGGGACAAGTTGTATGATCCACAAATAATTTTCAATAGTTATTCCCAAGGAAAGAATTGACGTAAGGCAGGCGGCCAATATGATTAGCAACATAATTGACATGATGTGCCGAGCATACATAGTGCGATAATGTATGCGGATCATGATGATTTCTATTGATATTTCTAAATTTAAGGTAACTAAGTTTTAATTTAATTAAATTACACACTGGAAATGAATTGTTCTAGGCTCTTGCAAGCAGAATTTAATATTTTTATTGTCAAAATTATGTTAAAAAATTGTCCCGCTGAGTTTCTTTCGCCGGTTCGTTTTTTCCGAACCAGTAGTAGTGTTTTTTGACAATCAATAAGTATAATGCTTCTTTACTAAATATTTAAGGAATATATTTCATTTTAAATTGAAGCTCAATTGAAGAGCCTTGATAGCTCATTGTCCGGGCGCTCGCCTTTAATTCAATATACTCGAGCAACCTGAGTTCGATCCCGGTGCCGGCACCAATAAAGTTTTTAACTTTAGGTGCTGACTTATCACGTGCTCCGCGGTGAAGGAAAACATCGTGAGGAAACCTGCATATTTTCGAAATAATAAGAAAAAAAATATATTTCGAAAATATGTGAAGTCCGCCAATCCGCAGTAGGGCCGCGTGGTGGACTATGCCCTGATACCCTCTGTAAAGAGGAGGCCTTTGCCCAGCAGTGGGACATGTATTGGCTGTTACTTTACTTTACTTTTGAATTGAATTTGAATTCACGGATTGAGGGATTAAATTTGGAATATTAAAAATTACCGGAATGCCTAATTCCAGTACGCCAATTTCGTGGCCCCATGCCAACATAAATGAGACGGGCCACGAAGTAGTTCCTTGGGAAATTTTGGTTTTATTACTTAAGGCAATATATACATACCTATATGATATATAATTATGTGCGTTGTGTTTTCCAGCATTTGGATTTGTGTCGGTCGCGTTCTAGATTCCTTTGCCAAGTTTCGCTGCAACAGAAATGTTAAAATTCATCGATATTTCAACTTAGTAGTATTAACTTGACAGTGTTTTAGATTTCCGCATTGTCTTACAGTAAAGATTTTAAACTTTAATGGAGGTTTCGTTGCCAATAAATAATAGTAACGAGTCCGTCCTTTCTTTTATGACCGTCCCAAATTACTGTTTCATATGCGATCTTAAAATTTATAGAAAATCTTAAGTGCAGAGATTTGCAATATAAAAATATTATTATTTTTAATTTTTTAAAATATAAATACATATTTCACCTTTTATTTGGAGCGACAATCCAGTGCCCAGCTTGCATAAACATACTTGCATAAACAAAATCTACCCTATTGTTGTGAGAGGAAAGCCTAATCATATTCAAAAATTGTATCAATCTGACACGTCATGCGTGGATATCAATGTAATTATTAAACGCACTCGTACATTGGCGTACACTTGATTAAGTTCATTGCACTTCAGCGAGATTGGAATACTGATAAGCCTTGAAGTGTGTACTGAAAATAACCAATTAATCTCGCCTCAAAAGGTGAAAAAATAAACCAGGTTTGTTTAATAGCACTAATTCGTTCGGTCCAAAATGTGTAGTCCCGGCTACCGTCGTAACAACACCCGTTTGTCCCCTGACCATGGACCCTGTAAGGGGTTCGACACGCGAATTAAAATCAAAATTAAACGCGAAAAAGTCTGTAAAATAAGTTCCAATTAACGATGTCTAGTTTTCGTGTAACTGTTTGTATCCTTACATTACTTATTATTAGTTTATTGCACATCTGGAATTGGATAAAAAATGTTTCGAAAGATTTAATGCATAATTATATAAAGGGAATAAATCTTTACTGAGATTGACTTTTTGATTGTATGTATATATCTATATACAGGTACATACGTACAGATTAATAAAGCGGTTTAAGTTCGTAATTTGAACAATTCTTTATATTATCATTTGTTCCTAGTGTACTTGCAGTACTGTTGATTCCATTTCTTGCCATTAAAGCTTGCCATGCTTCTTGCTAAGAATCAGCTAGTTAGACTGCGTTATGCTGGTTAAACTGTGGTAGGGCCCCGCAACTGGCTTCAATGTTCCATGACTGGCCAGGGCCGTTCAGGGGAGTGAAGTAACCGGGGGCCTGCTTTATTGAAAGGTGGCAACGCATAGGTAATCGTGCGGGTGTTTTAATTGTCCATGGGCGGCAGCTATCATAAGGTGAGCCGACAGCTCGCTAGCCAGTTTCTCACATGACAAGAAAACCCACGATGATTCTACAGTAAATTAGTGAAGAGGGAAGGATCGGAGAGGTCCGGGCGCTCTTGAAGGCACAATATAAGGCATATGATACATTTAAAAACGCTCTTGCACAAATAACTGGCATTGTGGAGCTAGTAGTAGACATTTGTGTATTATTTATATATGTTCCGACGAAATAAAAGAAATGCAAATATCAAAAATTATATCTTCGTTGTTTATACTGCTTATTAGAATAACGTAATTTTTTTTAATAATTTTGATCTGTATGCAACTTTAAAAAATATGTGAGCATAATAATTGATGTAAGTAAAGGCAGAATGAAAAGTGAAGACTGTAAAGTGTGTCGCGCTATCTGTGGTGTGTATACAAGAAACTTCGATGATGTGATTTTAAGTTTGTAACGCGTCGCTTGCTTTCATGTCTTCGTTGTAGTTAGCTGCTTCCTCGACAGATGGCGCTTTTTTAAAAAACTATACTGATTATTTTTTCTTGTTTCAGGTACGTATCTACTTATTCACGCAGCTCTATGAAGGTATATCATTTTAATACACTTGTGTTTTTTTTATGTGAAAAGTTGCCAAATGAGCAAACGGTTCACCTGATGTTAAGTGAATAACCGCCGCCCATGGACATCTGCTGCACCCGAGGGTTTGCAGATGCGTTGACAACCTTTTTGGAAATTGGAATTGTGTACATTGATATTTTTATCTGTGCACTGGTCGATCACTTTAAGTGCATGCAGATTCAATGAATGACGTCAATGGGATTGCAATCAATTAGATAAGTGCGTCTAACTTGATCTGCATAGCAGTGTCAAGATTAGCTCAGTGATAAGATATGGGCTATCCGTTAAGTGACGATGTTATCGAAAACATATATCGGCTGTTAATCCCGAAAAATTCGTTTGAATCGGAATGTACTATTGGTCAGTCACGTACACAGGCCTTCGTGGAATTCCTTATATTCGTTAGCAACTTACGTGGTCGTAGTTGTGGGTTAATTTATTAGTTTCGGAGAGAAAGAATAAATTATAATATTATTATTTTTTTATCTTTATTTATTTTGGGGTTTTCATCCTTACGAAATGATGATAGATACCTATATCTCTTAATAACGGTGCCGGAAAGGGAGTATTTTAGATCGTGGTGTGAACTAAGCTCCTTTCGCCGTATATTATGTTAAATAACAGGCGCAAAGAAATAAGTTAACAGTTGTTAAGAAGGCAGTAATGCATGAATGAATAGTAAAGGCCTAAGTACACAATTAATAACATAAACTAATGGCTAGTTTTTCATATCATACACGTTCACAATGCGTATTAGGAAGATACAGAGAGTTATACGCTGGCGGCATAACGTTTTTTCCTTAAGTGACGATTTCTAACAACATACTTAGTATATATCTATGCTAAGTATGTTGTTGCATATTATGTATATATAATATGCTTGCAAATTTTTGCTATAAACAACTATCAATTATTTGATCGCCTGATGTTACGTGAATTAACCTAAATGCTAACTTAGTTAAAAATTTAAATTGTTTATAGTGCTAATCTTTGCACTTAAGATTGTACATTAAAATATGTAGAAAAAGTGCGAAAAGATTGTCGCCGCTGTGGGAACGTCGCTTGTTCGTCGGTGTGGTCATCGGCCGTTTAGCTCAGTGGCTAGAGCGTCAGGCCGCGAATGCCGAAGACGTGGGTTCGATTCCCACAGCGGCGACAATCTTTTCGCACTTTTTCTACATATTTTAATGTACAATCTTAAGTGCAAAGATTAGCACTATAAACAATTTAAATTTCTAAAAAAGCAATGGCGACATCTCTCGTTCGAATTATCGTTGTAAAACGATATTCGAAATTGTTTGTATGCTGGAAAGGATATAACAATAGATGGCGCCAAGCATTGCTTCAAATGCTAAGAAAACAATGTAGAGGAATGCGTTAAGATTTTCGTCGGTGTGGTCATCAGCCGTTTAGCTCAGTGGCTAGAGCGTCAGGCCGCGAATGCCGAACACGTGGGTTCGATTCCCACAGCGGCGACAATCTTTTCGCACTTTTTCTACATATTTTAATTTAATAACTTAGTTAAGTTACTTTAGGAATATGAGTAAAATTATAAAAAGAAAATTGGAAGAAAAGAATTAAAAATTCAAAAATCTAAAGTTAATATTAATATATGAGATGCTTATTTATTTTAGTTTAATATTGCTCCAATGATAATAAATAGCTATAGCCTTATGCGAAATGTCCTAAATAAAAAAGTATGAAACGTAGTAAAACAGTATATTACATATAAAACTGTATATTGTATTAAAAAAATTTACTTATTATTGCTCTCCTTGTTTTTCTCAATTTCTTCGACGATTGGGATGATCTCTTCTGGTTTGAGAGAAACTATGGGCTGGAATTTCTTTAATATTAGTACCTAAAAAGACATCATGAAGGTAAAGTGTACTTTATTAATACTACAATTTATTAATGATATTCGATGGATTGTTTTTTACGATACAGGTTTGTTTAATTATTATCAATATTATAACTTTTTGAACCTTAATATGGCTTCTTTATTATTATTTTTTATTAGTTATTACGGTTTTAATTAGTAGTTAGAGAAATGTTTGGAGAACATAAATAAATCTTATAGAACTTAGCCAGAATTTTTTTTTTTTGTATGAAATTTCAAGTGTTACACATAAACTTATAAAAAAAAGAGTGTTTATTTTCAATCCTAAACTATAGAGATTATGTCTATTAATCGTTAACTATAAAAGTTCGTGGAAAGTCCAATCCATACTATAATATTATAAATACGAAAGTACCTCTGTCTGTCTCGCTTTCACGCCAAATTGAACAATTGAACCGATTTAAATGAAATTTGATACACAGATAGTCTAGAGCCTGAGAAAGGACATAGGCTATTTTTAATTGGAAAAAAGGGTTGTAAAGTGTTAAAAACATTTTACTTTACAAATATACATAGTTTTTAAACATATATAGGCTTCAACACGAGCGAAGCCGCGGGCGAAAAGCTAGTTTAAATATATTTTTAATGCTTTCATTTGTTTTTTGTATTGTTCATTATTTTGAATTGCACATAGAAAATTTGGCGTCTATTTGCTTATGAATTTTCGGTTTTTCACTTACGTCCAAGTTCCTTTGGCCGGAATGGACCACCTCCATTAAGGATGAAAGAGCCAGCCTCACGGCTCCGGTGTCGGTATCGACTAGCGACGCGCTGTATTCTTTTTCAAGGGATTCACGTGCGGTCTTCTCTCCACGGCCGATGGCGCAAGCCTGGATGTAAACGTATACACGTTTATGCTCTTCTTCTACTTTCTTCACTCTCCTACCTCACTCTCATCTCCTTTTGGACTTTACTATGTGATTTAGAAAATTCGTATTCTCCTACCCCACTATCAACACCTTTTGGACTTTACTGTGTGGTCAATTTATAAGGAAACATTTTAACGTGGAATCTTTCCTTATCACAAAATCCCTTTACCAGCTGAGTACAGTGTTAAGGGAATGAGTTATACGAGACGAGTTATAAGAGACGTTAAGAGATATACGAGTCCATTCTACCGTTGTATATTATACATTGAGGAATTCGAATATTGACGTGGTGTGGTTCAAATCCACGACAGTAGCAAGCTTCCCAAAATTTCAGCATTCAAGTCTTCTATGTTTGCAGATGTTATGATTTCGATTGCTATTACCATCCTTTTACCGTCCATCTAACACTGGCTTACTATCGCAACCTCTATTCAACATGGTGCTGTTGTAGTTAACGTGAACGTTTATTAACGGCCGGTTTAAATATTCAATCAACAGATAGATTTGGTTTCAGGAGATCAAATTTTATAGCGGAAGCATTACGGAGCTATTATCAAATACCTTTCGCTAACCAAATCTACCTGTAGGTAGAATATTGAAACCGGTCGTAAGTCAATAAAGCCCATTTACATTAAGCGAAGCACTGTCCAGCACGAAAGACGAAATGTGTTAAAAAGGAAAGAGTCATTTGTGTAGTTTTACAAGTAGCGGGAGGGAAAAAGCGACCTTCCATTCGTAAAACGTGCCGGAGGGCTCCGTTTGGAAGAGGCGCGGCGTGCCGTCGTATTCTACGCCCCCCACCAAGCAGGAGACCCCGTAGGGCCTCCGTCCGTTGCTCTGCGTGTGCTCTTGCTTCAGGGCGGCTAGGTAGCGGGCCACGTGCTCAACGGACGCCGGATCTTCGACAATCAGCCGGTGCGACTGGCATTCTATTTGGCCCCTGAAACAGAATAATTTACATCCGCTATTTCCATCTCATTGACAGACCGGATCGGAATCAGCCAAAGTAAAAAGTCGAAATTCCTTTATTCAATATTAGGCTTATTTTAGGCTATTATTAAGCATCAAAAAAACTGCCTCGACTATAACCTAGACCTGTCCAGTTGACAAGTCTTTGCTATCTTAGTTTTTTAATTATATAAGTTTTGTTACAAAATTATTTGAGTATAAAATCAGCATCAAGTGCAGTGCAAGCATTCAGTGATTTTTAGTCAGTTATCACCAGGTTGATTCTTGAATTAGGTTTGCTGATCTGAAAGTTTCTATTCCATTTATGTTGGTAGATAGCAAAAGATAAAAGCAAATTAGGGCGGACCGCCTGCTTGTCTACATTATTATTCTTCTAGATGTTGGGAGATAGTGGCAAAGGAAAGAAGACTAACACTGGGAAGAAGTAGAAGTGTAAGATGGCAAATCAGCAGGCAGACTGTTTGCTTGTTCACCACCTTCTCGACGCGTTAGCAAGTGATCACCTCCAGCTAACCGCACACCACCCGCAGGATTACACGTGCTTTAGCAATTGAGAAGGGTGCGAGCCGCGGTTACCACGACCAAAGGACGTAACGCAAAATTACTCATTTTACTTTTTCACAACCGTCCCAAAGGGTAGGGCTTTTCAACTTTTTAGGCTCCATGACTGTACGGAAATAAGCTTTATTTTAGTCATCACAGATAAAATGATAACTTTATTTTATCTGTGACCCTTTACAGTGCTGGTTGTCGCCTCACAACACAGTGAGGCACATTAAATTGATAATGATGCGTTGAACACGCGTATAACCTGTTAACTTATTGACATTCGTATCATAAAGTAAATACATGACGCGAGCCCGTCAGAGAATGACATTAATGTACATTATCATTGTATTATTGCATTTAATAATTATTATATGTCTGTTTTTAAATATTAACTTATTAACGAATGTTACTTATCGCGTTTAGTTTTGATTTAAGTTTCGATATTACTTATTATTATGAATTTTAAGTTGAGTTCCTCCAAGTTTGACCGTTTTATACGAGTCCGTGGTCACGAAATGGACAGGTGTTTCACACCCCAACGACGTAGTTAATTTGACGTACAATCAACTTCATAATTCATTTTGTCCTATTTACGCAATACGAACTTATAGGATCTTGAAAGCTTACGCTATTGGTATGCTTGGAGTTAATTTTGTTAAGTTACATTACAAATAAACAATCCAGCTATCTATATATGACCATTAAAATATGGTTTTTCGTTTGTCTCCAATGCGTTCATGCGTTTGTTATAGAATTAAGGGAGCGAAGGTGGAAAATTAAGATTCGCAATTTAACTAGAAACTTAAATAACGGAAGAGTTACCGACTATGCAATTATTTTATTGCTCCTACTTTTTTTATATGAAAGGTTGTCAAGGGAGCAGGCGGTTCACCTGATGCCAAGTGATTAGCATTAAATGATTATGGATATTTTGGATTAGACTATTAATATCTGCAACAACTGAGGGGTTGTAGATGCCGTTTAAAAAAGCGGGCTCTAGTTACCTCACTCACCAGACTAAGTGCGAGATTATAATACTTCCACTTCACGCCGGTCTTCTGTGAGGTCGCGGTATTTCCCCGGACGGACCAGCCCGTTCGCACAACAGGGAAGACTGCGTGGCACTACCGCAGCAAGGATAGTAGACCTTTTTCATTTTTAGGTCGTTTTGTACGTAATCATAATAACATAAGATTGTGACGATTGCGTGAAACGAACGCGGATGTACTGCTGTAAGTACTTCTTTATCGCAATTAAGTGTAATTCAACCGAACATGATTTAAAATGACATAACGCTTGATAAAGTGCACTAAATACATCGAGGCGACCTTCACTATGCAGTAATCCCACGAATTCTAAATTTATCGATGATATGATATCGGTTCACGCATAACATTGTAAATGAAAAAAGAGAAATTGTTGAAAAATTCAAATCAACGGACTCGTAACATCAAATACCTACGATATTAATAAACAATAAAATAACATATTCAAATACATAATAAATAATCGAATCCAATGAATCTGTCAACAATTTTTTGAGCAGGTACTCGCGAGCTTTTCTTTTCAAAGGCGAAGAGATTATGAGAGATGCCGTCCTGGTTCCGAAATTCCAAAGCGTATACCACAGAAGATTACAGATTGGACACAGAAAGATGAGTTTTATAATCTTTTCTTCGATTGCTTGCGTCATAAAGAACACCGGGATTCCTGCCTAGCACCACTCTGGAACCAGCTGCCGCCGGTGGTCTTTCCGAACCGTTTACGACCTGGGAACCTTAAAGAAGAGAGCGTATTCTTTCCTAAAAGGCCGGCAACGCATTTGCGAGTGTGTTGCAGATGTTCATGGGTGGTAATCACCTTCCATCGTATAAGAGTTCAAACTTTATCACCTTAATTCTAATATTTTAACTATTACTGAACTTGAACATTAACAACTATTATAACGAAAAGCAGCACTAGTGGTTATATCGGTGATATATCCGGGAACGCAGCCGAAAAGCAAGTGACCGCTGCTCCACGCGACCTGTACCTCTTCGCTCGAATACATAACGTCATATCCGCTTTAGTGTTGCCAGCGACAACGATCAGAGCCATCGCCCGCTTTCCCAATTTAAAAAAAAACCGACCTGGCGATCAGCACCCTGGCATCGGCCCGCAATCCGGCGTACGCCAGCGCGACGTGCTCGTCCAGCGCCGCTATCTTCCCCTCCGTCCGCTCCTCCTGCAGCCTCCCCACCGTCCTCTTCTCCGTGGCCAGCACCACCGCGTCCGAGCCCCGGACCCCCACCACAGGCGAGCCCTTCCGCACCGCCTCCTGTGCGTACTGCACTTGAAGCAGCTGGCCGTCGGGAGAGAAAACGGTGACGGCCCTGTCGTACCTCGCCATTGGTCTTATTTGTAAAATAATAAAAATCCTAACTTTTATAATATATGTATTGTAAAAGGGCGTTGACGTCTGTCGTCTGTCATGTTTAGAAACCTTCCGTGTAGGGATGCGTCTTGAAATAGATTAAAGAGGAATTTTAGTTTTGTGATATTAAATTAATAAAATATGTTCAGATTTTCCTGTTAGAAACGTTATACCTTTGAAAGTGTAAAGATTTGGCTGTCATTCTTATAATTGAAAATAATTTAGGTCAGTTCTAAGAAGATTCACCACGAAATTTATTGAAGTACAAATGTTACTAATTTTGCTATCGTGCAAAACCGCAACTTATTTAGCTATAAGCAACGGCGTAAACAACAAAGTTGATTTCGGATGAATTCATTCATTGTTCATTTTGATGCAACACAATTAATTGCAAACCATATACCTAATTATTGTCGGAGAAACTAATCTAATTCTTCGAAGCCAAAAGCTCACCCTCTTTGCTCACCGAGTGCCTAGATAACTGTTAGAAAAATAAATTGTGGTTGCTAAACCACAAGAATAATGTTGTGATGTCAGTTTTGATTAGGTACTGTTAAAAGAAAAGTGATCATCTTTCTTCCACTACTGTTCCATGGTCGGTAACGGATCATCTTTGTACTAGGTAATTGCTATAATTATGTAAATTTGTTAAGATATTCTATATATAAAAATACGGTAAATGTAAATAACTTTAACTCCGGCGTAATTCAAATCAAATAAATTTTAAACGATAGAGATAAATCTCAAATGAATTAATCAACAAGCAGAATTCGGCGGTCGCTTATAGTTTTCGAGAAAAAAAAATTTAAAACTTGTTTTTGTACTAAGAAATCCACCATTTTATTTGTTTGACTTCAAAAACTCAGTACACAGTTCTGCCAACATGATAAATATAGGAAGCGGGCGACATCATACACGTATCGATATTCCGATTTTTTTTATATTTAATGAGTCACAGAACCGACAGAGCAAATCCGACTCGGATAGATTAGGTTAGAAGGTTCAGGCGGGAGCGCAGCTCCCGCCTTAACCTTCGATGTTAGGTTTTTTTTTATGACCACCAAGAAATACGAGCTGAATTGTTTGTTGTATTGACAGCAAAAAAACTTTTTTAAAATACTCGCATATTTATATCATCGGCGGGTAGAGGACACTCACTCTCTTCCAGAAATGGTGCAAACGTTCTCCAGGTTCGGGGAAAATTTTACAAAATCGTGCCTCAACCAGATAACCAATGAAGTCCACATTTAAAACATTTAACAGTATTTACAAGAACTCCATGACGACACAAAAAATTAAAAAGGACTAAACGATCTGATTCTGATTTGAATAAAAGGGCAATGTCCACTTTGTATGGGGGTTTTGGCTTGGAGTGAACATTCACTGAGAATAACAACGATGTGTAGAATTAATAGATTTATTCAAAAGGAATTAGAAAAATAATAAAGTTTTGTGTCCAGGTGTATCATAGTTTTTTTTTTTTTAAATTATAAACAGGGCTTTGAAATATAATATCGAATTTAGTTTTCATATTTTTTATTAATCAGATTCATAAGTTCATAAATTGATATATAAGAACCGGGATGGTGGATTTACAGACTCTTGGACCTTGTCCAGCTCATGAACGAAATAACGTATACATATATATTATGTATTATATGGTCACAGCAACCCACTGTCCGTAGACCCACCATGCAGTTGCAAAAATATTGTTTTACACTACCTGTCTGTTATATTATTTTCATATAAGATATAAATATAATATATTTTTCTGCTGATACACGACACCATACATTCACAATACCAAAGAAAATGTAATCACTACGTTTACCTATACAATACCTACGAATAAGGCAAATGACATTTGTCAAAATAACGGTCACAACGGTCAGTCAAAATAACGGTCTCCAACCAAAGTATTGCCTAATGTCGCCATAAAAATCGTAACCAATGAACAATTTTTTTTATATGATTCTCGGATTTTGTTATCAAATACATTGGCAAATATTATTCAAATACATTGGTAATTGAAGTTGATCAAAATAATACAATATTAACTTTAATTCCTTATAAATATTTATGTATAAAAATGCAGTGGCACATGATTTCGTGACTTATGCACTTTCGATAAATAATTTTTACCACAAATAAAATGTAAGTTAATAAATGAGAATAATAATAATATTAAATTGATTGATTAAAAAGAATATTCATAGATGTGATTGAGATTTTTATACTGGCAAGGTAATATTTTAAAATGTCGACAAGACTTTGTGTATATAAATCAATATAAATACTCATTATTGGATGTTTTTATCAGTTTGAATCGATACAACCGAAAAATACAAATATTCATGTTTTACTCAGGGAGATTTTTGGTATAATTGTTTTTATCTAAGAATTCTGTTCACGCGAAGCCAAAAATGGACAATGTCCTTTTATAAAAAGAATAAAAACTTAAATTACAATATGTACATAAAATATCACTACTGCTAGTAGACGCACACATATTATCCGTCATTGCAAATACGAATCACCACTATTCTATTGTTTTTAAATAATGAGCGGGAAATACTTCCGGTTCAAATTAACATACGATTAGGCACCGAAAAAATTATATATAGCCAATATACTAATATCGATTTTGAAACTCGATTACAAATTTTATTAAATCTTGGTTAAAAGCCCTTAACTTATTAAAAACTAAATATCGATGTATTATAAACTAAATATAATAATGAAATTACATTTTTTATATTTATTATTTTTATTTATTTTCATTACAAAGCTTTTAAAATCTTCATCTTTAACTTATTTGTTGTTTTATGTAAAAAATAATAAATATTCAAAATTAATTACTTCTTTATAAAGTTTGACTCTTCCACGTGCTTCGCCAGAACAATCGCTATGTCGCCCCTGAGTGTCGCTTCACCCACTCGGCCTCTTCTTGCGCCACTCAGGACCTCCGAAGCGAGGTTTTGGCTCCGCCTTATTATGTTCACTCTAGGGTTAGGGACCACAAGACCACATGGAGTCGGGGTGCTCTGTGTCGGATCTGGGACTCATTTTGAACCTTATCTAATCGGAAAAGGGTCCGTGATAAATTAAAAAGATGCAACCATAAACCTAACCAATTAGTAAATAAATGTTAAACCTAATTTAGCTTATTTCACAGTAATTTAAATTGTAAAAAAATGTAATCGATTTATAATCGATATAAAATTTAAAAAAATGTCCATAATATTTCAATATGAATAACGTTGGTTTATTTGGTATTGGCGCCTAATATTTAAGAGTTTTCTTGGATTATAACCTAAACTATATTTGATTATTAACATTTCTCTATCGATTAAAATTTTTTTCGAGTCGGAAAATGAGACATTGAGTGAAATATTTAGGAAAAAAAAATTAATGGAATAATCGCTAGGACAAGACGTCGCCCGCTTCCTATATTCATCATGTTGGCAGAACTGTGTATTAATTACGTTGGCGAATGGCGGACTTTGTTAGTGAAAATAACAAGTTTTAAATATTTATTTCTCGAAAACTATAAGCGACCGCCGAATTCTGCTTGTTGATTAATTCAATAGTGATCCCTTTCTATCGTTTAAAATTTATTTCAATTGAATTACGCCGGAGTTAAAGTTATTTACATTTACCAAAAACATACATATTTAACATTCATAAAATCATCCTCTTCATCATTTCATTATAAAAATTAGGCAAAAATAAACAACCAGAAGTGTTCATTGGCGTATTCATTGAAAACCGCCAAAAAAGAAAAGAAGAAGAAGAAAAGTGATCATTATTTTAGTCTGTTGGAGACCTGGGCATAGGCCTCCCCCATAAACTCGTCGTCCTACACTGTGATGGTTAATACGAGGCTGCCACTCGAGAACCTTTTTCCCCTTCAGTTGTCGGTTCTACAAGCTATATGGTTTGTCACTTCAGCTTACTAATCTTCTGAGCTATGTTAGTTATCGTTTTATTCGGCCAGTGATATATAATTTAATGTAGGCTGTATGACATTGAGTCATATTGCTTTGGCCTGAACTGACATTTTCAGCATAGGACGACCTATTTTTCAAACTCAGAACACAAACTATTCTAAATTGCTCTTTATTTTTTCGAATCATCGTGGTTGATTGAAGGATTCTTTTTCTCTCTATCTAGTTTTTATATAGTTATATATCTATATGAAAACAAACAAATATTTAGGACACATTTTTACACAACGTTATCTAGTCCCAAACTAAGCAAACTGTAATAGATAACTGATAAACATACTTTTCTTTTGTAAATAAATACACATTATAGATATATAAACACCCAGACACTAGAAAAATATTATGTTGATCACACAATATTTTTCCAGTAGTGGTGATCGAACAAAAACTAAACGAGATCAAATCTAAGGTATTTATTTAAGAATGTCGGTGTAAATGCTAGATATTGATTTCATTTTTATGTACTGTAAATGTGACGTATCATATTAGAATATATTTATCTTGTACTTCTATTTTTCTGCAAACCACAAATAACTATAACACTAATGACGCAGTCTGCTACAGCAAAATTCAGACAACTGGATATAGCTCGGAATGCCGGTAGTTCTGTCGGTGACAGGGTATTAGTTAAAATAGGTGGCGGCACTTAAACAGAAATAACTTAATTCATCTAAGGAGCTTGGAACCCGACAAGAGGAAAATGTTACGTCGTCTACGGGTTGGCTAAACTTTAATTAATGCTTTAACTTCCCCAGCTAACCTTTTTAGTTTTCTCTCTATGCTCATAAAATAAGTAATTGGATTTTGTTCGTTTGTCTATCTCATATCAATAATTTCTGTCTGCAACAACTAAAAATCGGAAAAATGTTGACTTTTGCTGGTTACTTAAATCTATTTTACTGCGACGCGATATAATCCATAAAATTGTATGTGTTATTGTATTGTGTTATTTAGGTTAAATATAAAAAT